GCTCAGTAGGCTAATCCTCCACCTTGCGCTGCCGGCACACCGGGTTCTAGTGCCAGTCGGGGCACCGGATTCTGTCCCGGTTGCCCCTCTTCCAGGCCAGCTCTCTGCTGTGGCCAGGGAGTGCAGTGGAGTGCACCCCATGGGAGACCAGGAGAAGTACCTGGCTCCTGCCTTCGGATCAGCGCGGTGCGCTGGCCGCAGCGCACCGGCTGCGGCGGCCATTGGAGGGTGAACCAACGGCAAAGGAAGACCTTTCTCTCTGTCTCTCTCACTGTCCACTCTGCCTGTCAAAAAAAAAAAAAAAAAAAAAGACAAATGGGAGAAAAATGAGAAATAAGGTACTAAAGAAATTAAAAACCAAGACAAAAACTCATTTTTCAATAAATGAGTTGCCTGCTTTGGATTCCAAATTCTCATATTTAGGTCAAAACTGACTACTATTACTAAACCTTTTCCATACAGCAACTTGTACTGTATCTTCTCAGGGAAAAATAAGTGACATTCTACGAAATCTGGCTTCCTGAGCTTCACCACTCTGGAAAGCGAACTGTGGTCCTCAAGTGGCAAGGTTTATTTAAGGACCCACCTCCTGGGAGCGGTACTGTGGCAGCGTGGATTAACCCTCTGCCTGTGGTGCTGGCATCCTGTATGGGTGCTAGTTCCAGTCCTGGCTGCTCCACTTCCAATCCAGCTCTCTACTATGGCCTGGGAAAGCAGTAGAAGACGGCCCAAGTCCTTGGGCCCCTGCACCTACTTGGGAGACCTGGAAGAAGTTCCTGGCTGTGGACTGGCACAGCTCTGGCCGTTGTGGCCATTTGGGGAGTGAACCAGTGGATGGTTCTCAGTCTCTTCCTCTGTCTATAACTCTACCTCTCAAATAAACAAACACTTAGAAAAAAAAAAAAAAAGTCACCTCTATAGCTCCATTTCCAGAGGTCACTGCTGAGAAATCAAAACAACCAGCTAAAATTATAAGGAGGGATCCATGGCAAAAGACAGAAATGCAAGTTATTTCATCCTGGAAACATTTATAAATAAACAGGGGTTGCTCTCATGCATTAACAGTCCAATCTTAAACAGTTCTACCTGTTTCAAGAAGACAACCAAACTTTTCGCATTCAGTATAAATTTCACAATTTATGAGATCAGAAATTTTCAGGAAATGTTTTAAAACACTGGCACCGGTTCGAGTCCCAGCTACTTCACTTCTGATCTGCTGTGGCCTGGGACAGCAGTAGAAGATGGCCAAGTCCTTGGGCCCCTACACCCATGTGGAAGACCTGGAGGAAACTCCTGGCTCCTGGCTTCAGATCCGCACAGCTCCAACTGTTGTGGCCAACTGGGGAGTGAACCGGCGGATGGAAGACCTCTCTTTCTGCCTCTCCTTCTTTATGTAACTCTTTCAAATAAATAAATAAAAATCTTTCAAAAAAAAAAAAAGGAATATAAGAGCAAAATTTACAACGACCCTTCTCAAAGACAAAACTGCCAAAGGCAAAACTGAAGGAACCAGCTGTCTTTAAATGAACACAATTGTTTCTCTCATATTTACAGCTACTACCTGGTTTAAGACATACATTTCAAGAATGAAAACTAAAGTATAAAAAGGTTCTAAAAACCAATCTGAAGTAGCTTTTCAAATACTAACATGTTTTCCAATAGTGGCTTTTTAAAAAATATGTATTTATTTATTTATTTATTGAAAGGCAGAGTTAGAGACAGAGACAGAGACAGAGAGAGGTGTCTTCCATCCACTGGTTTACTCCCCACATCGCTACAACGGCCAGAGCTGGGCCAATTGGAAACCAGAAGCTTCCTCCGGGTCTCCCACGGGGATGCAGGGGCCCAAGGACTTGGACCATCTTCTACTGCTTTCCCAGGCCACAGCAGAGAGCTGGCTAGGAAGTAGAGCACCTGGGACTCGACCCGGTGCCCATATGGGACTCCAGCACTGCAGGCAGTGGTTTTACCCACTACGTGACATGCCAGCTCCTTGTTAAAGTCTTTATACTAGCAATTTCTGTGACTACAGTTCCAGCTGAGATTGTTACTGTGACCCGTATGAACATCTACCCTCCTTGCATTATGTACGAGACACTTAATAGGTATTACACAAAGAAAACAGTATGTAATGTGATGGCTTATGTTGACATGATTAGTGAGACAGATCTGTACTGGACTTCTACCTTCTAGAACTGTAATGTGTTGTTATGAAGCCTCTAAACTTGAAACACTCTGTTACAGCAGTTTCAGGAAACGCACATAGAGACTGGCACACACTCAGCTCTCCAGCCTACTCAGCGCCAAGCTTTCCTGTCCCCTCTTCTCTTCATGCCACTGTGCTGGCAGCCACACTGAAATGAACAGGTAACCATCCTCCATTTACTATCTAATTTTTTTTTATTTGACAGGTAGAGTTATAGACAGAGAGAGAAACAGAGACAGAGAGAAAGGTCTTCCTTCCGTTGGTTCACACTCCAAATGGCCGCTATGGCCGGAGCTACGCCAATCCGAAGCCAGGAGCCAGGTGCTTCCTCCTGGTCTCCCATGCGGGTGCAGGGCCCAAGCACTTGGGCCATCCTCCACTGCCCTCCCGGGCCACAGCAGAGAGCTGGACTGGAAGAGGAGCAACCGAACTAGAAGCCGGTGCCCATATGGGATCCCAGCGCCACAGGTGGAGGATTAACCAAGGAGCCACAGTGCCAGCCCCTACTAATTTTTAAAATATCAAGCATTTTTACTCTCAGTACATACTATTTACAATTGAGAATACTGTAATAAATTTATTTTCTTGTACTATGTTTACTGTTGGGAGTTAGTTTTGTTTGCTTAATTTTCTATGAAACTATCAGTAATGGTTCCAATATCCTCCATAAATATCTTGTCATATGACTGGGTCAAAGAGTTAAATGACAGGTCCAGAGTCTGACTTTTCAGTAACTGGTATGGGTTTTTTTACTCAACATTTCCTTTAGCTGAGAAATTCATGGCTTTGTTAGTTCAGGGAAATTTTCAGTGTTATTATCTTGATAATTCATTTACCTCCAATGCCTCTATTTTTCTTATAACTTTCTGTCAAATCTTGAACTTCCAAGACTGATTATCTAATTGTCTTAATTTTTATCTTCTATTGTCTGTCTGTCTCTGTTTTACTTTCTGGAACCTTTATCATCCAGCCCCTCTCATAAACTCCTGTATTCATGTGATCATATATATTACTTCCAGACACTTCTTAGTACTAGTCTGCCCTCAGCCTTCCTTTGCAAGCATGTGGTTCTGCTTTAGTAGATCAAGTATCTCAATCAGCTGAGGTCTATGGTCATTTTTACTTTTTTTTTTCTATTCCCTGTATCATTCTCTTCAGCATCCTTTTATTCAGTAAATATCTTTAAGTTTTCTGAATGTTGAGATGCACAATCCAAATGTGGCTTAGCATCGACTGAACACCAGGTTCCATGAAGGGTGATTAGATGATGCGCTGCAGCCATCAGCAGACGTCTTCTGTAAAGCCAGTCAATGCCCCGCAGAAGGATCTGCTGAAAGCCAGCCTGAGGGGTGGACTCTGGCTGCAGGCATCCTACGAGACAGGCAGGAAGAGGCAGCTGGCTGTGCTCCACAGTATCCTCCTCCATGTGCAGTTAGGCTGTGGCTGCATTTAATTAAGACAGGGCCCACCCATCATCCGGGTGCTTTGTATTATCTCTTATCCTTGCAACTGCACCTCTATATTGTAAAAGCAGGACCCAGCCACTTGTGTCTCCCTTAGCCCAGGATGTCCTAGCCTATCCTTTATCAAAGGGAATTCACTGACTTCAGAGAGTCAGACAGCTCGCCTGACAAGGTTCTAATTACCAGACTCAAGGAATCATTTGCTTCTTCAACAGATGAGAACCCTGATGACCAGTATAGTCAGGTCTGGGCAGAATCTAACTGCCACCTTCATTTAACCCCCAGACCAACTGTGACCCACCTGGCCATCATAAATTCCTGAAGAGCACAGACAACCAAATGAACATCACAAGTACCACTGACCAACTATGAAGCTGGACACGAGCTGATCACGCACCTCTCAGCCCCGGTTCCAGTCTATAAGAACCGTCACCCCTAATGCTTCAGGGAGCCTGAGAATTAAGTAATATATGTCTCCCTCCCTACTCTGCTCTTTGCAATAAGTGGCTACTTTCTTACACCACCCTGAAGACAGTGGTTGGCTTTCTGCCTACCAGGCAAGCAGACATTTGGTCGTTCTAAAGCAACACTTCCAACTAGTTTGGGGTGCAGTTGGCAACATCCTTGGCTACCTCTTCTCTTCATTCCCTTTTTCTTTCCACAGTTTGTCTTTTTATGCCTTTATATTCCTTTAACACCACATAAAGGGGGGGGGGTGGTTTCAGAAAGGAGAATATTTGCGCATTTGTTCAGTCTAACATCTTTTCTTACATTACACAAGTGGATCTTTTTTGATGGTGACTGACACCCAAACCAAACATTTCTCAGAACAGACCAACAACAAGATCTGGTAGTCCTGTTCACCTCAAATAAAATGTGCTTGAAGTTACACAGAAAAAAAAAAAATACTAAAACCAAAATAAACAGAAACACCTTGAGAGAAGTGCAATTTATGAACTTAACACCCATAGTAAAAGCATTCACTATATGCCAAGAACTGTGCTAAGCACTTTACATAAAGTATCCTGATTACTGTATTTCAATCTATTAACTACTTCAATATATTGTCACTTTTCTCATTGTAGGGGGGTTGGATTAACCTGCTCAAGGCCAAACAGAAAATAAACACAGGCAATGGAATTCAAACTCTTACGAGAACTAGGCTGCACATGAAGGGGTAAACTTGTTTGGTCTTTCCTAACACTTTGGGGCTCCTAAAATTGAGGCCATTTTCCATAACTAAGTACTACTGAATGCACACTTGTCATATGTTCCTTATTAATTTCAGCTGCCCCTAAAGCAGATGAGAAAACGGCAACAGTAATATTGCCTTTTTGTTTCATGTAGAGACACTGGTCTGAGTCCCCAGTTCCTTGCTGCGGCATGACCCATTCCCATCTGAGGATGGGCGCTATCTGTCCCTCTGTATCTCACAAAAAGAGAAAAAGGAAAAAATTCAAAAATCCCAGTGAAGACATTATCCAATGCTACCCAGGTAGGCACTACAAGAATAAAGTCAAAAGTAAAGTAAACCAACACAAAGAGGAAAAGCAAAAGAGGAACTCAGAATGACACACCTGTACATCATTAATGTACAAAAAAGAATTGAACTGAGGTCTGAAAAGACGACAGACAGGGGCGAGCACTGTGGTGCACAGGGTTAGCAGGCATCCTAAATCCAAGGCATCTGGAAAAACAGCTCAGGATGGCCTAAGTACTTAGGCTCCTGCCACTCAACATGAGAAGCTCCTGGCTCCTGGCTTCAGCCTGGCACAGACCTACCTGGCCACTGCAGCCACCTGGAGAGTGAAGGAATGGATGGAAAATCTCTCTCTGCCTTCCAAATAAATGTCTTTAAGGAGGGTGGGGAGGAGGAGGGAAAGACCAGACAAAAGATAACAATATTCTGTGACAAGGAGAGCCATTTAAAATACTGCACATAGATGGTTTCACCATAACTTAACAAACTAGGAGTGTATATTTAGTTGTACAACCTTGTAATTCAACTTCACACCCAATAAGGGTATTCATTTCCATTTGGGTACAAGTTACTGAACCATGTATTATAAAGAAGACTGGTCATGCAATGCTGAAGGCTCTGCCATCAATTCACTCGTGTTAAATTAACTTGGTCTTCTAGTGAATTTCTTTACATGGTTTCCAAAACTGAACACAAAGGCCACAAACATTTGACTATGTATCTAGTTTGCTTAGAAGCCTTTGGGGGGAAAATTATCCTATTTATTTGAAAGGCACAGTTACACAGAGGGGGAGAAACAGAAATCTTCCATCTGCTGGCTCACCCCCAAAATGGCAGAAATGGCCAAGGACAGGTCAGACAGAACCAGAAGCTGCCTCCAGGTTTCCCTTGAGGGTGCAGGGGCCCAAGGATCTAATGGGATCTCTTTGAGGGTTAGCCTTGTTCTATCTCCGAAGAATAAACAGTAACCCTAATTTGTTCGACTTTTACGTTATGAACTTTAGGATTATACACAAATTAGAGATTTAACATCTTTTATTTTGTATGCAGTTTCCAGCATGGTTAGGCATTAATGCAGTTCAGTGCTTTTGGTTTATCCTATTTCTTATTAACTCTGGTGGAAATAAACGCAGTCAATTCTTGACCTATGTGCTAAATAATAATAGAGCTTAACTTTTAGAAAATATGAGAAACAAAAGTAGTAGCTTTACTGTCTTCCTCTTACATCCCAACAGATCATTTTAAACATGGGTCATGTGAGCATATTGCACATTGCCAACCGCTGATTACAGAACAAGTCAGAGCGTGAGCTCTGGCATTCAAAACAGGATTGTATTTATTATAGCAAAAATACTTACTAGGAAAAACAAAAGGAAAAACTCAAAAAAATCAGATGAATGGAAGGGGAGAAAAACTTGTCTTAGTCAAATAATTAAAATGTATATACATGTACAGAGCAAACCTCCACTTTAGTTTCTTGGCACAAGCCCATCAGAAAATACTGTCTCTCCTTAGTTCTTAAAATCTTCCTTCTCTAGCAAGAGTTGGTATGAGCTCCTAACTGGCAGCTTACTTGAAAACCAAAACGGTTTTGAAAAGATCCATTGTTTTCAAGTCATCTGACCACATCTAGGAGACTGCTATGTTTATTTAGAAAACAGTCCTCAATTACAAGTTCTGTCACTGTGTCAATGGTGTAAAAGTCTGCATCTTTTCACGAGGGCGGTAAATTCTTAAAATGGCTGAAGTCACTTCTATGGCGTAAAATTTTCACTTTACTGATTCTCTGGTTTCATAAATGTTGACACAGCAAGAATAAAGAGGATGAAGGCTTTGTCCAGGGTTTGTGTAGATTACATTTGATTCTCACAGGGCCATGACATATAGAAATAGAAAAAAAAAAAAAGGAATACTAGTAAGGAGCTTATATTTCATCTTTTAAATCAGGTACAGTCTACACAATGCACTGTTGAAGAGTGAAATGTTCATGTGTATGTCATGTACTCTATGACTAATGACAAGCTAGTATTTAAATAATTCTCTAGGACTGGTACTTATGCCTGTAGCATAATGGATATTTTAAGAAGCATTTTAAAAAAGTCTTATTCTGTAGTATAAACATGTAGTAAAAGCAGTTTTTTTTTATCCTTCCCTAAAATTTTTTATAGTGAGTTGAACATATTATAGGTAGTTTTTATTATGAGCTCTCATATGCAAGACATATTCTAGTTCACAGTTCTCTTTTCAAGTACTGAGTACTTTGAAGTGTGGGCTAGTCTTTTATCACCTGTGTACATAGTAAAAATACTTCTGATTTTTTTGACACTTAAATTACATCTACTTGCTGTATTGAGCTTTCTTTTAGTCCCTCATAAAGTTGTTTGTTATGTAGATTATTCCTGTATTTGCAAGTAGGGAATCCTTTTTGTTTTTATTTCTAATTTGTTTTCCACTTTCACCTGTGAGGTGAAAATAATTTTCATGCAATCAAAAATTTAGCTTTAAAAGGCTTCTAAGTAGTCGCCAGCATTGTGATGTTGAGTAGAGCTGCCACCTGCAGTGCTAGCATCCCATATGGACTCCAGTACCAGTCACCACTATTCCAGTTCCAATCCAACTCCCTGCCTGGGAAGGTAGTGGAAGATGGCCCAAGTGCTTGGGTCCCTGCACCCCTGTGGCTCCAGTTTTAGTATATGTGCTTCCAAAATGAGCACCCTGTGTGGCTCCAGATGAGACTCCTCGCTCCTAGCTTCTGCCTGGCCCAGCTCCGGCTGCTGTAGCCATTTGGGGAGTGAACTCTGTTTAACTCTGCCTTTCAAGTAAATAAATAAATAAATCTCTTTAAAAATTAAAACTCTGAAAATGCCATGTGCTGATGAACACTCAAACTATAGGAGGAAAGGTAAAATAGTAACACCATATAAAGCACATTGATCTTAAACATGAACATATCAGAAATCAGAGCCCATAATTTCATTCCCAGGTGTACGCTCTAGAGACAGGCATCTGCATGTTCATCAGCGTACACACATGCACACATACCACAGAGAATTGTTCACAACAGTTCCATTCAGTTAACAACTCAGATTTTCAAAAGAACACTAACAGATCAATCTAGGATGGTATTCACAAACAACAAAACAAGTTCAGCTGTGTGTATCATATGCATCACTTTTTTAAATCAAACACTGAATCACAGAACAAAAGATCTCTTCTAGTAATGATTACTTTTAAAGTTTAAACAGGTAACCTAAAACCATGAGGTTTAGGGATATGTAGATGGTAAAATGAAATACAACAAAGAAATGATTGGCGTAAAATCCAGAATAGCAGCTCCTCTAGGTGTTGGGGCAACGATGTAAATGGAAATGATACAAGCTGAGAAAGTCCCATTTCTTGAGAAATATTTGCTTTATGATATAAGCAGGGACTTCAAACAGTTTGTAGAAAATGAAATTAAAAAAAGTTTACTCTATGGCGCCAGTGCTGTGGCTTAGCAGGCAAAGCTGCCGCCTGCAGTGCCGGCATCGCATGTGGACGCCAGTTCGAATCCCAGCTGCTCCACTTCCGATCCAGCTCTCTGCTATGGCCTCAGAAAGCAGTAAAAGATGGCCCAAGTCCTTGGGCCCCTGTACCCATGTGGGAGACCTGGAAGAAGCTCCTGGCTCTGGATCACTGCAGCTCCAGTCATTGCGGTCACTGGTGAGTGAACCAGTGGATGGAGGACTCTCTCTACCTCTTTCTCCCTCTGTGTAACTCTTTCAAATAAATAAATAACATCTTTAAAAAAGAAGTTTATTCTGATACAAAAAATATGGAAACCCATATATACTTTGTCCCTAACACATTTCCATGAACTTTGAAACTTTATGCATGAATTTCAAAAATTTCTGCACCAAAATAATCTTTTATTTTAATTTTCCTTGATGACTTTGTAGTACTCTCATCTTGGTTTCATAATTATTAAACTGTACATTTGCATGTAAAATAAAATTTTAAATTTCTTTTTTGTATCGTGGTTAAGTAAGTGCTTATCTTTTAGAGATAAATACTGAAATATTTATGCATGAAATGATGTAATATCTCAGAATTGGCTTCAAAATAAAAGATCAAACAAGAACAAAACTGTTGAAGGTGAGAGACAGGTACACGGAGTTCATCATACTATGGTATACTTCTGTATATGTTCAAACATTTTCAGTAACAGGTTTTTTTAAGGCCTTTATAGAAATAGCTAAAAATAAAGACACACCAGTTTCATGAATCCGAATACTCACTATCCGTAGATTCAACCCAAGTCTAGCCCAAATTCAATTAGGTCTTCTGGAAAACTTGACAAACTAATTTTTTAAAAAAAATATTTAATATTTACTTGAGCGGTAGAGTTACAGAAAGAGAGGGAGAGACAGAAAGAAAGTTCTTACATCTGCTACTTCACTCTCCAAATGGCCACCACAGCCAGAGCTCAGACGATCAGAAGCCAGGAGCTTCTTCCAGGTCTCCCATGCAGGTACAGGGGACCATTTTCCACTGCTTTCCCAGGCCATAGCAGAGAGCTGGATCAGAAGCAGAGCAGCCGGGACACCAACAGGCGCCCATGAGATGCCGGTGCCACAGACGGAAGCTTAGCCTACTACTCCACAGCGGGGACCCCGAGAAACTAACCTGCAAACGGATATGGAACTAACACTGAGCAAAACATTAGAACAGGGACCGCACTGTGGCATAGCATGTCAAGCCACCGCCTGCACTGCCAGCATCCCATATGGGTGCCAGTACGAGTCCTGGCTGCTCCACTTCCAATCCAGCTCTCTGCTATGGCCTGGGAAAGCAGTGAAAGATGGCCCAAGTCCTTGGGCTCCTGCACCCACTTGGGACACCCAGAAGAAGCTCCTGGCTCCTGGCTTCGGATCGGCACAGCTCCAGCTGCTGCGGCCAACTGGGGAGTGAACCAGTGGATGAAGACCTCTCTTTCTCTGCCTCTCCTTCTCTCTCTGTGTAACTCTTTCAAGTAAAATAAATAAATCTTAAAAAAAAAAAAAAAAAAAGAGGTGCCTATCAATAAACAAGACATTGAGCAAGTGAAGAGATGCTCAATTTTACCAGGCAACCAGGGAAAAAAATGTTAACACCATGACATCCCATTTTACCCTTCAGATTGGCAAAAATAATAAAGTTAGAAAAGATCAAGCATTAAGAAAGATGCTGTAAAGCTGTAACTATTGCACACTGCTGTGGCAGCAATTATCATTTTGTGGCACAAACCTGTGAAGCCAATCATGTCTATACCCCACCACTCATAATTTCTACTTCTAGATACATATGCTAAAGAAGTAAGATCACTAAAAGATACATATGCAATAGGAAATACATATAAAAAAAAACCCTGCACCATAGTCTGTAATAGAACGACCCAGAAATTACTCTTATGTCTACCAATAAGACATCTGTATTGCAGTGTCTTTTAACTGTTTACTGGTATGCACTGTTACATGTTTACTTTCACTGTATAAAACAGATTACATAATTTCAAAGAGGACTTAAATTGTCCTTTACTTTAAATGCTAAAACACATTATGACTTTTGCTAATGTCACATTTTAAGTACCTTAAAACTGGGGCTGGCACTGGGACAGAGCAAATCAAGTCACTGCTTGCAACTATGATAACCCGTATCACAGTGCCAGTTTGAGTCCCAACTATTCCACTTCCAATCCAGGTTCTTCCAACATGCCTGGAAAGGCAGTGGTAGATGTCCCAAATAAATAGACTTGCCATCAATGAGGCAGACCCAGATGGAGCTCCTGCCTTGTGCCTGGCCCAGACTTGGCTGTTGCAGCCATATGGGCAGCGAACCAACATATGGAACATGCTCCCCTTCACTCTGCCTTTCAAATAAATAAATCTTTAAAAAGAGTAAAAACTGCAATAATCATATTGTTTGTTAAGAAATAAAAGGCTTACTTCACCTTATGGTACAGCAAAAAACTAATCCAAACCAAACCAAAGATGAATTCAAGAAAACATTAAAATAAAATTCTCCCCTGCCATTTATAAACTTAGTTTTTGAAAGTAAGTGATTTTCGGGCCAGCACCGTGGCTCAATAGACTAATCCTCCGCCTAGTGGCGCCAGCACCCCCGGTTCTAGTCCCAGTCGGGGCACCGGATTCTGTCCCGGTTGCCCCTCTTCCAGGCCAGCTCTCTGCTATGGCCCGGGAGTGCAGTGGAGGATGGCCCAAGTCCTTGGGCCCTGCACCCCATGGGAGACCAGGAGAAGTACCTGGCTCCTGCCATCGGATCAGTGCGGTGCGCCGGCCGCAGCGGCCATTGGAGGGTGAACCAATGGCAAAGGAAGACCTTTCTCTCTGTCTCTCTCTCTCACTGTCCACTCCGCCTGTCAAAAAAAAAAAAAAAAAAAAAAGAAAGAAAAGAAAAGAAAAAAGAAAAAGAAAAAAAAGTAGCCTGCTATACATTAAATGATTAAAAATTCATTAAATTTTAAGGTGCAATTTCATGTATTTCATATACACAGATTTAGTGATACTTCCAACTCTACCCTCCCTCCCACTCATGCTCCCACCCTTCCTCTTATTCCCTTTTTACAATGATCTACTTTCAGTCTACTTTATATTCCTAAGATTAATCCTACACTAAGTAAAACAACAAACAGTAAGAAAAAAATAAAGACACTGTTCCTCAACAGTAGAGGCAAGGGCTACAATCATCCAATCTCACTATGTCCATTTCGCTCCTATACATTACATTTTTGGTACTCTATTAGTTACCACAGATCAGGGAAAACACATGCTATTTGTCTTTTTGGGACTGGCTTTTTTGACTAAATATAACGGTTTCCAGTTACATCCATTTTGTGGAGAATGACAGGATTTCATTCTTCTTTATGGCTGAGTAGTATTTCATAACACACACGCCACAATTTCTTTATGCAGTTATCAACAGATGCACATAAGGGTTGATTCCATATCTTAGCTATTGTGAATTCAGCTGCAATGAACATAGGGGTAACTTTTTTCTTTTAAAGATTTTATTTATTTATTTGAGAGGTAGAGTTACAGACAGTGAGAAGGAGAGACAGAGAGAAAGGTCTTCCTTCCATTGGTTCACTCCCCACATGGCTGCAAAGGCCGGAGCTGCACCAATCCGAAACCAGGAGCCAGGTGCTTCTTCCCAGTCTCCTATGCAGGTGCAGGGACCCAAGCACTTGGGCCATCTTCTACTGCCATACCAGAGAGCTGGCCACACCAGAGAGCTGGATTGGAAAAGGAGCAGCCAGGACTAGAACCAGCACCCACATGGGATGCCAGCGTCACAGGTGGAGGATTACCCTACTGTGCCATGGCGCCAGCCCCAAGATAACTCTCTCATGTAGTAATTTCATTTTGTTTGGGTAATTCCCAGGAGTAGGATGGCTGGGTCATACTGTAAACCTATTTTCAGCTTTCTGAGATATCTCTATACTGCCTTCACAATAGCTGTACTAGTTTACATTCCCACAAACAGTAAATTAGGATACATTTTTCCCCATATCATTGCCAGCATTGTTTGCTGATTTCTGTATGACAGCCATTCTAACTAGGGTGAGGTGAAACCTCACTGTGATTCTGATTTGCATTTCCCTGGTGGCTAGTGAACCTGTGCATTTTTCCATGTGTCTGTTGGTCATTTGAATTTCCTCTTTTGAAAAATGCTCAGAGTCCTTTGCCCATTTCTTAACTGGATTGCTTGTTTTCTTGGATTGTTTCTGAGTTTCTTAAGCTCTTTATAGAGTCTGGATATTAATCTTTTATCAACTCCATATTTTGTGAATATTTTCTGCCATTCTGTCTGTTGCCTCTTCATTTTGCTGTTTCCTTTGCAGTACAGGAGCTTCTCAGCTTGATGTAATCCTATGTGTATATTTTTACTTTACTGCCTGTGTTTCTGCCTATGCCAGTGTCTTATGGTTTCCTCAATGTTTTCCTTTAGTAAATTGATGGTATCAGGTTGTAGATATTTATTGAATTTCTTTTTTTTTTTTTTTTTGACAGGCAGAGTGGACAGTGAGAGAGAGAGACAGAGAGAAAGGTCTTCCTTTGCCGTTGGTTCACCCTCCAATGGCCACCGCGGCCGGCGTACCGCGCAGATCCGATGGCAGGAGCCAGGAGCCAGGTGCTTTTCCTGGTCTCCCATGGGGTGCAGGGCCCAAGCACCTGGGCCATCCTCCACTGCACTCCCTGGTCACAGCAGAGAACTGGCCTGGAAGAGGGGCAACCGGGACAGAATCCGGCGCCCCGACCGGGACTAGAACCCGGTGTGCCGGCGCCGCAAGGCGGAGGATTAGCCTAGTGAGCCGCGGCGCCGGCCCGATATTTATTGAATTTCAAGTCCCACCTAGGGTTGCCTTAGAAGGAACAGACCAAATTATTTTGCAGGTTAGACCTTACTACCCATGGTCTGGAGCTCTAGTCACCTCATCAGACCTGTTGGTTCATTCTCTCAAGCTGCAGTAATGGCTTTCACGTTTTGCAGAACACCTAAGATCCTCTAGCAGTCGACTGGCTTCCTCTCTGTTTCCTCAAGCACAGGGCACCTCCCTTATTTTGTTTCCTTACTTTCTCGCAGTAGGTCCAGCACCATAACCTACATTTCACCCCACATACTACCATGGGTTGAATCTGTACAACAAAAATGGCAGAAATAAAAGCTACCTAAGGGAATAAACCACCTCACAGCAGAAAACATGCCACACTCCATCCCAAATGGTGACTCACAGACCGAGGGGGGACAGCATGGGCAGCACAGCCTCCAAGTCTAGGTACAAAGTCACACTCAAACCACTGGAAAGTTTCCGTCCTTCCTCTTGGTTTCTTCACTCACAACCGTCAGTGATTTCCCATTTCACAAAGAATAAAAAGGTGTCTTCTCGACCTGGAGGGCTGAACAGGAAGTAGCCCTTGGTCACCTCTCCGGTCTCATTTCCACCACTGGTCAGCCTCCTGGCTTTCAGTACGCTGCCTTTTTTTATGTTTCTCTCACACACATCACCTTTGCACTTTCTAACCTATCTGACTACAATGCTCCTTCCTGTATGCGGTCTGCTCCCTTAAATCCTAGCTTACACTATCCATCAGAGGAGCTCTCTCACAACATCCTACTTCAATTAAGAGCCCCATTTCTCGCAGATTACTTTCCATCTTCTTTTCCCACTTTGTTTTTCCAAACAGCAGTTGTCATTATCTGGTATCATACACATTTATTCATAAAGCAAAATGTGTCCTCTACCAGTGTGAGAGCCAGGAGAGCAGAAACAACATCTACTTTGCTCACTGATTTTTCATCAACACATGGCTCACTGCAGAAATGCCAGGGTTGTTGTGTGCACTAATACATGGGAACTTGTCGCTCCCCCTCTTCGTGGAGGAGCAACACTAAACCCTGCCTAGGCTTCATATCCGAGTCACGGCACCATTATGTCGCTCCCCGTCTTCGTGGAGGAACGACACAGGACCCTGCGCTGTTCTTTCGTCTGCTTGGCCCTCCCCGGGTTTGCTGCTGGTTCTTCCCGGGTTGGCTACTGTCCCTTCCCGGGTTTGCTGCTGGTCCTTCCTGGGTTGGCTGCTGGTCCTTCCACCTCCGTGGAAGGGCGGTTCCCCCTGCCACATTCCCCACTTCCGCGGGGGAGCGGCACACCGCCGGCCAGCTCTCTCAGGGGCTGCACAGGTGTTCCTTCAGCTAGATGTTCCCCTTAGATGTTCCTGGTGCATGTTCTCTCTCTCCTCCTTTATAGTCCTCCTCCGCCAATCCCAACTCGGCTGCCCACACGCCGAGTACGCTGCTCTCCTCCAATCAGGAGCAGGTCCTGCTGTTTATTGGCTGAACTGGAGGCAGCTGTGTAGAAGCTGTTTTCTTCTCTCCCAGCGCCATATTGTGGGAGAGCAGATGCATAGAATAAGTCTTAATTCCAGTAACTTAGTCTAGTCCGAGTTGCTCCCCACAGATCCCCCTTTCTTTTTATTTTTTGGCGTTGATACGCGCCTGTCTTCGGTCTCCCGCGGCACACACTCTGCTCTTCTTGCTAGAGTTGCCACAGGTTCTTACAAGTCCTATCAATCAGGCAAACCGAATCCGGGTCCTCTCTTCGCCATGTTGTGAGGAGGTTTTTAGGTGCTGATGCGTGCCTGTCTTCGGTGACCTGCAGCTCATACTCTGGTCGAGCCGCCTGCTGGTGCTTACCGCCTTACTAATCAGGCAGACCGAATCCAAGCCTTCTCATTGCCATATTGTGGGGAGGCCTATTGGTGTTGATTCGTGCCTATCTTCGGTGACCTGCGGCTCATACTCTGGTCGAGCCGCCTGCTGGTGCTCACCGCCTTCCTAATCAGGAAGACCGAATCCAAGCCTTCTCATTGCAGTATTGTGGGGAGGCCTTTCTATTTCTCTATTTCTCTATCTCCGGGCATTCCTATTTCTCCCATTTTACTTCTGTCTGCCAACATTCCTATTTCTCTCATTTTACTTCTAAACTTCTGTTTCTCTTATCCCCGCGGCTTCCCGGCGCCCGCCCCGAGGCTGCTTCTCGGCGGCTTCCCGGCTGAACTGCTTCAGCCCGCTTCTCTTATCTGCGCGGCTTCGCGGCTCTGCGCGGCTCGGCTTCGCGCGCACACTCCGCAGTCTCGCACTAGCCCAGCGTTCCCTATCTACTTGTGCCCCGCACGCTCTCTCTGCGCGCGGCAGCCTCCGCGAGTCACACAGCCCCAGCTCACGTCTCCGCCACTAGTATTCAATCTAAGTTCCCCGGGCTAACCTGGCGAATTCAACCCAGCTCACGTTTCCGCCCCACGATCTGGATTCCCGTCCTCTGCTCCCCGGGCTAATCAGACGGATCCCAACCTGGCTTACGTTTCCACTTCTGGTTTCAACTCTTTGCCCCCCATTCCCGGGCTAACTTGAGAATCCCAAAGTGGCTTTCGTCTCCGCCTCGGCCTGCCCCCGGCGGCTTCAATTTCCCTAACATTTTTCTCTACCCAGTATGTTTCCCCAAGCTTTCCTCCAACAATACTCCTCCCTCATTTCTCCTGGCCTCTCCCCACAGTCCGCATCCGAGTCTGTTTGTTCTAGCTTTCACTTTCGCTTTCGACCTTAGAGATTTCTCCCAGCTTCCCCCCGTAGTCCGTATCTGAGTCTATGCCTAGGCTTTCAATAACTTCTTCCGGCACCTTTTTCGTCCGGCTTTTCCCTAGGCTGTTTGCTAGTCTCTCCTGTCTGGTATATCCCAATTTCTTCCCGTTCTCCCTACTAACTTCCTATGCGAGTCACAGCAACATTATGTCGCTCCCCTCATCGAGGAGGAGCGACACTAAGCCCTGGCCTAGGCGTCATATAGCGAGTACACGGCACCATTATGTCGCTCCCCATCTTCGTGGAGGAACGACACTAAGCCCTGCCTAGGCTTCATATCCGAGTCACGGCACCATTATGTCGCTCCCCATCTTCGTGGGGGAACGACACAGGACCCTGCGCTGTTCTTTCATCTGCTCGGCCCTCCCCGGGTTTGCTGCTGGTTCTTCCCGGGTTGGCTACCGACCCTTCTACCTCCGTGGAAGGGCGGTTCCCCCTGCCACATTCCCCACTTCCGCGGGGGAGCGGCACACCGCCGGCCGGCTCTCTCGGGGGCTGCACAGGTGTTCCTTCAGCTAGATGTTCCCCTTAGATGTTCCTGGTGCATGTTCTCTCTCTCCTCCTTTATAGTCCTCCTCCGCCAATCCCAACTCGGCTGCCCACACACCGAGTACGCTGCTCTCCTCCAATCAGGAGCAGGTCCTGCTGTTTATTGGCTGAACTGGAGGCAGCTGTGTAGAAGCTGTTTTCTTCTCTCCCAGCGCCATATTGTGGGAGAGCAGATGCATAGAATAAGTCTTAATTCCAGTAACTTAGTCTAGTCCGAGTTGCTCCCCACAGGAACTGTGTGTACATGTCAAAATATACATTTCAAGGAGAATAGCATTACAGAAAAATCAGTGCCAAGGGAGAAATAATAAAAGTAAAGGCATAGGATATAAAGAGAAAAGTTTTTTGGGGGCTGGCGCTGTGGCACAGAAGGTTAATCCTCCCCTTCCAGTGCCGGCATCCCATGTATGTGCCAGTTCTAGTCCTGGCTGCTCCACTTCTAATCCAGTTCTCTGCTATGGCCTGGGAAAGCAGTGGAAGATGGCCCACGTCCTTGGGCCCCTGCGTCCATATGGTAGACCTGGAAGAAGCTCCTGGCTTTGGATCGGCGCAGCTCCGGCTGTCGCGGCCATTTGGGGAGTGAACCAGTGGATGGTTCTCAGTCTCTTCCTCTGTCTGTAACTCTACCTCTCAAATAAATAAAAAAATCTTTAAAAAAAAAAAAAGTTTTTCTTCCTGTAAAATCAATGTTCATGTTTTTTAAGGATGCCTTTGAAGTTTACCAACACTTTGATGCTCAACAATAACTCACTGCAGTTCTGTAACCAGTGACAAACATCTTCTCAAAAATTACTTTGCAGGGCCAGCACTGTGGTGTAGCAGGCTAAGCCTCCACCTGCAGTGACAGCCTCCCTTATGGGTGTCCTTTCATATCTCAGCTGCTCCTCTTCCCATCTAGTTCTCTGTTATGGGCTGGGAAAGCAGTAAAAAATGGTCCAAGTGCTTGGGCCCCTGCACCTGCGTGGGAGACCTGGAAGAAGCTTGTGGCTCCTAGCTTCAGAAAGGCTCAGCTCCACCCGTTGCGGCCATTTGGGGACTGAACCAGCAGATGGAAGACCTTTCTCTCTGTCTCTCCCTCTCACCCCCTGCAAATCTACCTCTCAAGTAAATAAAAACAATCTTTAAAAATATGTGTGCGTGTGTGTGTGTGTGTGTATGAATAAAAATTGCTTTGGAAAGCAGCAATTACCCAATTTTAAATCTACAAACTTAGCTCTAACAACAGCAACTACATCATGTATAGTCAATTAAAAAGTTTTGAATCTTGGCTGGCGCTGTGGCATAGCAGGTTAAAGCCCTGGTCTGAAGCACCGGCATCCCATATGGGCACTGGTTCTAGTCTTGGCTGCTCCTCTTCCAATCTAGCTTTCTGCTACGGCCTGGGAAAGCAGAAGATGGCCCAAGTCCTTTGGCCTCTGCACCCATGTGGGAGACCCGGAAGAAGCTCCTGGCTCCTGGCTTCAGATTGGTGCAGCTCCGGCCATTGTGGTCATCTGGGGAGTGACCCAGCAGATAGAAGACCTCTCTCTCTGTAACTCTGTATTTCAAATAAATAAAATAAACCTTAAAAAAAAAAAGTTTTGAATTACCACAGCTCAAAACATTACACTGTGTATTATAATGGGTTGAACCAAAGGAGTAGGAGGAGAAAAATGATTATTAAGCTAATACTCAGAAAAATGCATTCTATTTTCTTTCCAATATTGGCTGTTCCTTTTTTCACTCATGGAATGTGCAAGAGCAGAAGGGAGTGATCAACAGTGAGTGGGCGAGCTGGCATGCAGCACTTTACTTCAGTAAATACTTCACGAAACTTCAGACATGACCATGCAGTTTCAGATAAGGCAATCTTGATAGAGTCTACTAAGACATCAAGTGGCAAATTTTCTTAAAATATAAAGAGTAATGAAATTCTTCATGCATTTTTTTAAATTGGTTACCTGATACCAACAAGCAAGTCATTCCTCCACTATGGTGACCACCATGGACATGTTAAGTTTTGTGGAATTTTTCTCATCAAGTCAGAAACGTTAAGAAATCAGATGCCCAAGGAATTTTTTGTAAAATATTCTATATAAATATGTGTTTGTTGAACAATGACACAATATTGACATGATAAATGCTGTATGAAAAAAAATGAAGTTTCAAATGTGTTAGTGTAGCATAAAATTTATTTCTGATGTGTCATGCTTGTAACCACCGATGTAGACTCCTGATATATAAATTCCTAATCTGTGTCTTTCTATTTTAGTTATGGTGTCCCTCTATTTTAGCTATGTGTGAATATTAGTAGTAAATAAATCAACCTTTAGAAACATGGCAATATGACTTCTAGTTTTTGGTCTTACACATGTGCAACAAGGAAGTTATCACTCTCATCCTTCAAAGAAAAAAGAACAGTTCTTCGTAGATCCATTAGAGAACTCAGTTTACAGAGCAACTGCTGTCCCCAACCTGCTGTCTTAGGCAGGCAGGTAGGCAGCCACAGAATCACAGACCATGCAGAGAGGAAACCTCAGCAGGATGCCGGAACTAAAGTGGAAAACCCTTAACGCAATTAATTAATTGCTGTAGGCTCAGTGTGAACAAGTTTGAGTTTCACACTTGGGCAGGAAAAAGACATAGGGGAGCCCACTTCTGAGGGTTTATCCCCAGGAATTGAGCTACGTTCTCACAGTGCAAATCAGGGAAAAATACATCATGTTTCAACAAAGGGCAGGAAAGGTAGCCGCGACACAGCAAGTCAGAGCACTCCATTCTTGTTAACAGAGGCCTGCCCTCAAGAGGAGCAATTTTACTATACCCTAAGCATCTGGGATTTTACCACACCAACCAATCTGGTGGGAGGAAAATACCCCATGCCAGTTTTCTCTAACCTTTTTGTCTCACCTGAAAGAGAAGAAACAAAACAAAACATAGAAGTCCTTTGTGTGGGTCACACTCCAGGGAGACAGTCAGACTGACACCTACTCACAGCATGATATGCCATTTCCCCTCCCCTACACTTCCCACCACTGTTCCCACAACACAGGGGATTACACAGGGGAACAACTGCACATCTCAGACCTTATTTAAGAATATGTCTCCAGGGAAACCCGAAGACAACACCAGATAAAACCCACAGGCCACCAGAGGAAATTTTATCCTCTGACACCTACAGCCAGAGCAATAGTTAAATGGCCTAATCTCCAGCCAGATAAACAGAAAACCTCACATTAAAGATCTATTTACCGGCCGGCGCCGCGGCTCACTAGGCTAATCCTCCGCCTAGCGGCGCCGGCACACCGGGTTCTAGTCCCGGTCGGGGCGCCGGATTCTGTCCCGGTTGCCCCTCTTCCAGGCCAGCCCTCTGCTGTGGCCTGGGAGTGCAGTGGAGGATGGCCCAGGTGCTTGGGCCCTGCACCCCATGGGAGACCAGGAAAAGCACCTGGCTCCTGGCTCCTGCCATCGGATCAGCGCGGTGCGCCGGCCGCAGCGCGCCGGCCGCGGCGGCCATTGGAGGGTGAACCAACGGCAAAGGAAGACCTTTCTCTCTGTCTCTCTCTCTCACTGTCCACTCTGCCTGTCAAAAAATAAAAAAAAATAAAAAAAATAAAAAAAAAAAAAAAAAAAAAGATCTATTTACCATCTCCTTTGGCCCCACATATCCTTTTCTACAAACAATAAGGCATACTAAAAACATGGCCAAATGTCTCAAGTGTTCCATATTTTTTAAAAAGATTTATTTATTTGAAAGTCAGAGTCACATGGAGATAAGAGAGGCAGAGAGAGAGAGAAAAGGAGGGAGGGGTCTTCCATCCACTGGTTCATTCCCCACTTGGCCGCAAGGGCCAGAGCTGCACCAATTTGAAGCCAAGGACCAGGAGTTTCTTCTAGATCTCCCACGCTGGTGCAGGGGCCCAAGGACTTGGACCATCTTCTACTGATTTCGTAGGCCATAGCAGAGAGCTGGATTGAAATGAAGCAGCCAGGACTGGAACCGGCACCCATATAGGATGCCAGCACCACAGGTGCCACCTTTACCCGCTACACCACAGTGCCAGCCCCTCCATAATGTTTTGAAGTATTAGTGAAGGGGACTGACATCCCAAATGGGTACCGGTTCATATCCCAGTTGCTCCACTTCCAACCAACTCCCTATTAATGGACTGGGAAAAGCAGCAGAAGACTGCTCAAATGCTTCAACCCCTGCCAACCACATGTGAGACCTGGAGGAAGCTCTGGCTCCTAGCTTCAATCTGGCCCAACACTCATCTTTATGGCAATCTGGGAAGTGAACCAGTGGAGGGAAGATCTCTGTCTCCCTCTCTCCAACTCTTTCAAAATAAATAAATGTAATATTTGATAATATCAGATTATAAATTATACACAATAACATAGCTATATGCAGTTTTAAATTTTGTTCACTCAAACACACATACATTTATTTCACAATTAGAATCAATTAAATGGGCCAGTGCTGTGGTGCAATGGGTTAAAGCCCTGGCCTGCAGCATTGGTTTAAGTCCTGGCTCCCCCACTTCCAATCCAGCTCCCTACTAATGCACCTCGGAAAGTAGTGGAGGATGGCCCAAATCCATGGGCCACTGCAACCACCTAGGAGACCCAGAGGAAGCTCCTGGCTTCAGATCAGCTCATCCCTGCCCATTATGGCCACTGGGGAATCAATCAGTAGTCGGAAGACCTCTCTCTCTGTCTTCCTCTTTCTGTAACTCTGTCCTTCAAATAAATAAAATAAATCTTAAAAAAAATAACAATATAAAATAAATTAGGAACTTTGCTAGTAAAATCAGGATGAGCAAGGATGCTCAGCCATCACTGAAACTATTCACCCATTGTATTATAGGTCTCAGTGAAGTTAAGATTTCAACAGCCTAAAAGGTTCACATATCAAAAAATTACTTACAGTCACTATTTAGAGATATATAGACCATACAAGCATTTCAACTAAATAAAATTACTAAAGTGTTCAGGAAGATTCTGGATGAAAAACTACTATAGAAAAGAGTTTTTGTTCTACTTAATACTATTGGTTGAACTCTTCAATTAATACACAATTATTCTAGGTGTTTAAATTTAACTGAAAAGTGATCCCTGTTAAATTTAAGAGTGGGAATAAGAGAGGGAGGAGAGGTACAATTTGGGACATGCTCAATCTGACTTGCCCCAAATGGTAGAGTTAGAAACGTGCCAGAGGATTCCAATTCAATCCCATCAAGGTGGCATGTACCAATGCCATCTCACTAGTCAAAGTGATCGGTTTCAGTTCACAATTGATCATAATGATAGGATTAAAAGGGATCACATAAACAAGACTAGTGTCTGCTAATACTAACTGACAGAATTAAAAAGGAGAGGGCCACGCTGTGGCTCACTAGGCTAATCCTCCGCCTGCAGCACCGGCACCCCAGGTTCTAGTCCCGGTTGGGGCGCCGGATTCTGTCCTGGTTGCTCCTCTTCCAGTCCAGCTCTCTGCTGTGGCCCGGAAGTGCAGTGGAGGATGGCCCAAGTGCTTGGGCCCTGCACCCGCATGGGAGACCAGGAGGAAGCGCCTGGGTCCTGGCTTCGGATCAGCGCAGCGCGCTGGCCGCAATACGCCAACCGTAGTGGCCACTCGGGGGGTGAACCAATGGAAAAAGGAAGACCTTTCTCTCTGTCTCTCTTTCTAACTCTGCCTGTCAAAAAAAAAGAAAAAAAAAGAATTAAAAAGGAGAGAACGATCCAACATGGGAAGCAGGATACACAGCAGACTCACAGAATGGCAGATGATGTGCTAAATAGCACTCTGGCCTCAGAATCAGCCCTTAAGGCATTCGTACAAACCAACAGAACAAAACTTTAAAAAATGTACTAAAAATACGCAAAAATCTATATAAATGAAGACTTGTACTATATTTTTCAACAGGATAATTCAAAACTCTAAAGATGTCAATTCTGTCCTAATTATTCTCTACATTCAATGCAATCCTAAAGAAAACACCCAAAGAGCTTAAAGTATGCATTATGAAGTATCACATAGGAAGAAAAACTAAAATGAGTTAACAGTAACAAGGAAACGTAACCACAATCCAGCTTAAAAACTAAGACATGACCAACACAGGTGAAAAAGAAGAGGTATGAAAATATTTAGGGGCCGGCACTATGGCATAGCAGGTAAAAGCCGCTGCTTGAAGTGCCCAAATCCCATATCGGGTGCTGGTTTGAGTCCCGGCTGCTCCTCTTCCAGTCCGGCTCTCTACTGTGGCCCGGGAGGGCAGAGGATAGCCCAAGTGCTTGGGCTCCTGCACCTGCATGGGAGACCAGGAGGAGGCTCCTGTCTCCTGGCTTTGGATCGGCGCAGCTCCAGCAGTTGCCGCAAATTGGAGAATGAATCAGTGGATGGAAGACTCTCTCTCTCTCTCCTCTCTCCTCTCTCCCTCTCTTTCTCTCTGCCTCTTGTTCTCTCTCTGTTTAATTCTGACTTCCAAATAAACAAATAAATCTTTAAAAATTTTTTTACCCTGTGAGATAACAAAACATACTAACTAACTGTAACAATCAAAACCATAACAATGAAACCCATATAAATATATAAAGCTAAAAGGCATCTTGTGGCACAACCAATCCCTGGAAGTGATTTCACATGCAGAGCAGTGAAAACGGGGATGGAAAAAAATAGGGGTTACAGAGCCGGCGCCGTGGCTCAATAGGCTAATCCTCCACCTTGCGGCGCCGGCACACCGGGTTCTAGTCCCGGTTGGGGCGCCGGATTCTGTCCCGGTTGCCCCTCTTCCAGGCCAGCTCTCTGCTATGGCCAGGGAGTGCAGTGGAGGATGGCCCAGGTGCTTGGGCCCTGCACCCCATGGGAGACCAGGAAAAGCACCTGGCTCCTGGCTCCTGCCAGGATCAGCGCGGTGCGCCGGCTGCAGCGGTGGCCATTGGAGGGTGAACCAACGGCAAAGGAAGACCTTTCTCTCTGCTGTCTCTCTCTCTCCTGTCCACTCTGCCTGTCAAAAAAAAAAAAAAAAAAAAAAAAATAGGGGTTACTTTCATTTTTCAATTTTCTCCCTTGTCTATACTGTGCTCATGTACAAACTAAAAATTTGTGTACTGTGTGTGCAATTACATTTTTAAAATATAACCCTCATTTTTCCCTTTATGTTACTACAAAATTTAAACAAAAAAAAGAACAAAGTTAAAATCCTATTTTGTCAGCTATCCAGCTAGCATTCTCCAATGTAGTACATCTGCTCCTGAAGACACAAAGTAAATATGATCAGGGCCCTTAAAGAATTTCAATGTGGTGGCAGAGACTGGATATAAAAAGCTCCAGGCTGTAACAGAAAAGTGAACTGAAGAGATGAGGTATTATCTAAATCAGTGGAAAGCATGGAGAGACTTCATAGTGGTGAAATTCATTTTGGGCATTATCAATGATGAATAGAAACTTGGAGGTCAGTGGGCTGGAGTCTGGTAGCATTGAAATACACACAGGATTAAGGCGCAAAAGTGGGGCATTTGCCAAGAAGTCAGCAAGACCAACTACCATCTATATAGTTTTGGGCAAAACAAGTAAACCTATTAAAACAAGTAAACCAAAGTATAGATATATTCGTTGAGAAAAATGATATGGTAGGTCAAGAAGTACGCAAGGACAATCTATCTGCTGCAGCTTCCACCACTTCCAGCTGTTGATTTTGAGGCTGACTTGGTTGTTTTACCTCTCCTGTCTCCCCTCTCTGGTCTTTAGATTTGTCTACCTGGTAGAAGAACACAACTTCTTCAGTCGTGGATAAGTCTAGCACAATTCTCGATACACCATATGTAGTCCCAACACATTAAATGCTATTTCTTAAAAGAAGTATCTCAAGTTCCACTGAACTTTTCTCTATGACATTCCCTAGACCTGCCCTGCAATTAACTGCTAAAGTCCCAATTTTTAGTCTGAGAGCCACTGGCATGTTTACTAAGCACCCCACCCGATGCAGACACACAGGACTTAATACTTACGGGCTGAGGCTGTTCTGCGATACAGCAGTTGAAACACAACCAGAATTCACTCATGGTTACAGTTCAAGGTACAGTGTAGCAGCAGTGAGGATTCCGAATTTCAACTCAGGCACACTCCTCAATAAGATGAATGTTCAGTAAAGCCAAAATAATATTGTTATTTTATTGTGCTTTTGTTCCTGGAAGTCAAGTATCTTCCACAATTTAAAGAAAAAGTCAGATTCTTTTCTCGCTTTGTTTCTGGTTCTATAGAGACATGCTTCTGCACCACCAGAAAGTACAAAAACTGTTGTCTTGAACTTATAGTCTATAGCAGGGAGTCTAGGAAAGAAAAGAAAAAAAGTTAACTTTAGTCTTGAAAGCATTTCTTTCTTAAATCTGTGACAAAATTCAGAGTAGATATTACCACACAAACACCGAAAAATCAAGACTTTAAACAAACTGATACCATGTTCAACAAAATTATTTTTTCTGTCATGTGCTGGGCTATAACACTGAAAGCAAATAGAAAACCTTGCCCTCACAAAGCATTGTACTTTATAGCCATGAAAACATTTAATTTTTTCAAGAATTATTATTTTTAACACTGACTATCAAACCTAAGTCTTTAATACTAAGAGGAAATACTAATCATCATTTCACTAGTTGAATCCTTGGTGTTCATACACAATCCACATAGTAAGCAGTCATCAACACTAAGAACAGAAGTAACCATAACTTATCAAAAACAATAAACAAAATTATCACCCTACCCATCGAATTTTGAAATGTACATCAAAGTTTAATAGCGGTTTAGTTAGGCTTCCTTTTGGGAATTAGCCACTGGATTCCCACCCCTACCAACAACTCACCAGAAAGGGTGTTGGTCAGACTACTGCATATCCCACAATGGCAAATAAAGCTAAATTAAAGATAATCTGTCAGGCAATTTCTTATGTGGTGTTGTACAAAGAGTGAACCTAATTTTCTTTTTTAATATTTATTTGACAGATAGAGTTAGTTCACCTAACTCTTCCTTGGTTCACCCTTCCGTTGGTTCACCCCTCAAATGGCCACTACAGCAGGAGCTATGCCAATCCAAAGCCAGGAGACAGGCGCCTCCTCCTGGTCTCCCATGCGGGTGCAGGGCCCAAGCACTTGGGCCATCCTCCACTGCCTTTCTGGGCCACAGCAGAGAGCTGGACTGGAAGAGGAACAGCCGGGACTAGAAGCCTGCGCCCATATGGGATGTGGGCACCGCAGGTGGAGGATCAACCAAGTGAGCCATGGCGCCAGCCCCGAACTTAATCTTCATTCCCAACTACCAAGCTGCAGACTTTAACAATAACTTTATACCCCATATTGCATGTAGTAGACAAAAAAGCAGACAAAAAAGAAACTCAGATGACATGAGTCCCTGCTTGCAGCCACCCCAAAGACCAGTTTCACCTGTGCACCTGAGTGCTGGTTTTGTTTTTGCCTACTATGAAATTTGTTTTTATCACTCATAGCCTACTGTAGTGGCCAAAGGAAAACATCTAGTACACAGATGCACATACAACTTGAAAGCCAAGAAGTATGAAACTAGGCTTATCAGTGAAGTAATAAATGACAAGCTCTAAGGAAAGCTATCATGAGAAGCAAAGAGTTTAAGAGAATTGTGAAGAACAGCAACAATTTTATTATAGGGAGAAGAACGGAAAGGAGGTGGGATGTTATCAAAACGAGAAAGAAAACCCAGTTAAATGTGGTGTCATTGGAACCTTCCAAGGGGAATTTAACTGCCACTGAGAGAGGGAAGACTAAGAACTCCTAATTAGGCTGTGCAGCAAACAGAGAATTACTGGTCATGGGTAGGCCAGCTTCAGTAGGTAGTGGGCAGAAATCAGATTACAGTGGATCAAGAACTAACTAAAAGGAAAGCAGAGTCCAGAACACAGATAATGTTGACCATAAAAACAGATATACAAGCGTGGAATGGGAGGCAGAGTGAAGAAAAAGAGCCGTCCTTCAAAAAAAAGTAAATAAATAAATAAAAGATGCCTTGATTTTATTATTCAAGGAGATGTTGGAACATTTTGCCCCAAGTGGTGAAAAACAAAACATGTCCTTATAAATTTCTGAAAGAAACCTCATCCATCATTTATAAGCTTTGCCAACTATAAATCGATAACTACCACCCCTGAACACTAAGAGAAATTAAATCCCTCCTTTCTGCTATCTGCAAAATACTGCCTCTCAACTAAGTAAGGCAAAAATGGCAGCTATTTTTATAGGTAAAAATCTTCAGAGACAAGAGCACGTTGTCTCATAGGAAGTAACAGGTACAAAGCCAGCTCCCTGGCTGTACAGCCTAGAGGACAAGTTCTCCAGCATACTAAAGGGAAAGGACATGTTCACAGTGAAGCATACATTCAAAGAGGATGAGAATTAAGAAAAATTTACAATCTTGCCTTTACAAGTTTCAGAATCCACAATATTTACTGTAAATAAAGTTGAATATTCCTTATCTCCCCCAAATGCAAAGCCGAGGAACTGGCAGACTTCATACACTAAACTGGGTTAATACTGTGATGTTTCATTAGCTCAGAAGAAAAGTACTTTTCATTTATTTCCTCTATCCAACTTTAAGAGGAAAGGGTTAAATTCATATATCACAAACAGTATTTCAATGTGGATATTTATTTAACAAGCTTAAGCTCATCCAAGATTAATGACCTTGGCCATTAAAAAGTCATTTTAAATGAAATCTCTTTTTAATCAATTCTATGAAATTAAGTATGCCTTTGTTTCAAAGTGAAAATTCTCCAATGTTCATCATTGCTGTAGTTCACAGAGGTAAGGAGCTACTGTGCTGTTCTTCTAATCTGTTTGATTTCTCCTATCAACATCACATATTCTCATTTACATCCAAAGCACCAGAAGCAATTTTTTTTTAAAGATTCTATTTATTTATTTGAGAGGTAGAGTTACAGACAGTGAGAGGGAGAGACAGAGAGAAAAGTCTTCCTTCCATTGGTTCACTCCCAAAATGGCCGCAATGGCCGGAGCTGCACCGTTCCAAACCCAGGAGCTTCTTCCAGGTCTCCCATGTGGGTGCAGGGGCCCCAACACTTGGGCCATCTTCTACTGCTATCCCAGGCCACAGCAGAGAGCTGGATTGGAAGAGGAGCAGCCACGAGGTGCCAATATGGGATGCCAGCGCCGCGAGCAGAGGATTAACCTACTGCACCATAGCGCCCCCACCCCCAAGCAATTTTCCTGAGAACTATCTTCAAACATTAATTTTACTTGGGGGAGCACTGTATTTTCTTGTGCTTTTCTAAGTAAGTGCTTCTTTTGTTCAACACTTAAAATTATTCAGTGGCTTCCTACATAAATACTTTAACATCACCACATTTACCCAAATTCACGTTTCCCTCCTGTTTAGAATCAAACAGCTTCGTATTTTGTGCATTTTAAAAGACACATTTTCTAGGAGTGGGCTAAATTTAGCCTACTGGTTAGAATGCGCACAGCCACACGGGAACACCTGGGTTCAATTCTCAATTGTGGCTCCAATTCTTGTGAAGGAGCATTGATGGTTCAAGTTACTAGGCTCCCACTAACCCATATAAGAGACCTAAAGTGGGTTTCTGGCTCCCAAAAGCTCCCCCCCCAACTCTCAAATAAATAAGTATCTTTTAAAAATAACAAAATGTTCATTTCCCTATACCATGTACTAAGTTAAGAGTAACACAGGTCAACACTTCCTCTTCTGTAATGTTTAGGTCAAAGACAGCTGCCCAAAGTACAACAATGCTTCAATGTATTTCAACCCAGATAACAAACCTGCTGAAACACATTTTCAACCAAGAAGATGTTTCCAACTCCAAGGGTCTTTATTTAAGTAAACGTATAAAACCAAACATGCCTGGTAATGTAAGATCAATATTTTTATCTTCTTGCTTTTCTAAACAAATTTAGAATTTTCTTCCCAAAGTTTATATAGTTTAGACACATTTATATATAAACACCTTCAGAGAAGTATTGAATTCTTCTAAAATATTTCAACTGAGCCACGACTAACTACACTAATAGTTACCTGCACTTCTTGAGATGAAAGTTGTTTAAAACATGTCCATTTTTAAAACCTCGTAATTTTAAAAGTGTTCAGACAGCAAAAAGAGTGTCACTCTGCAATAACACCATCATCTAAACCAGGCTTTAAACCCAGCTGAGCACATTCCACACATAAATAAGAGGTCAGACCGTCTCTATCACAAAGACTATTTCACAGACACATAAATGCTTTTAGAAAGAGACCTGATGCCTTCCCAAGGCGGGGGGTGTGTGTGGCACAGCTCCCTTGGGATGTACCCCATGTGAAGAGATAGATAAGTCTAGGCCTCATAACTTACAAGGCCTTAAAGCCCACCTGGTTATTATCAGGCCCCCTTCCGTCAGTTTCTATTTGCCTCTCAATAGGAAAACTAATTCATGGCTTAGACAGCACCTTTCTTAGGTCCTCTAGTAATGAGTCTGTCCTTTGTTCAAGACCCTGTCTAGCCCACTTGGGGCCTCATTCCTTTATAATCATAGCCTCTACTCTAACATCAATGGCTCTACTCCCAACCTGTTTGTATTGATGGTCTTCTCCCCCGCTTAATGCTGTATGATTTTTCAGGATTTCCTCCATAGACAAAACTCCTCTACCTGCAAAAGTTGAGTGGCCTTTCTCCCAGTCTTGGTTGGGATCAGCTTTAAACCACGTCCATCAAATAGTCCTCACAAGGGTCCAGAGACCTCCCCCACCCCATTTCCTCTCCTCTATGAAATCCTCTCATTACCTGGTTAATGCCACTCTTAGGATCTCATTACCTGGTTAATGCCACTCTTAGGATCAATGGTTGCTATCTCACCCTGTCTTTTACACTACAGGGTCTGTTTAACTGCTTCCAGGAGTTGATAATGGAATGAACCAAGGCTTTCAGCAACCAGGCGGTTAACCAAATGCTGCTACGGGGATATACTCGGCTCCCCACCCAGGAGGCAGCAGCTTGAGACATCACCCCATGCCAGCAAAGAGTACCTTGTTGCCCCACGTCAGCAGGAAGTAGCTCTAAAGACAGATCATCTTCCTTCTACCCCTCCTGCACTTTTGGAACTAATGTAATCCCATACAATTTCTGCTTTATAAAAAACAAAAGGAGGGAATGTTAGTAAAATGGCACAGTCTTATTTATGGTGCAGTCTACATCCTGACACATCCTAGGCTCTAGCCCCCCCCTTCTGCCATTGCTGGAAGCCAGGTGGCCACACAGCCAAAACCGGTGTCAGCCCCACCCACATCCTAATGGGAC